AGTTGTTTGCACAATATACACAATCTACCACAAAATACCTGTGTGTGAGTTAATTCTACATTTTTGCTCTTTCTGCATTAATACTCTTCTTTCCTATTGTAAGAATGTAGACATCACCTACAATGTTTCAAGTAATCCACCCACCCCCCAAAAAATAACTCTTGCATGCACAGCATGTCTATGTTTTTTCATATGGAAACTTTGCACACCACTTAAGTTTCCAGGAGTAAAACAAGATTTTGTCTGCATGTACCTCACTGAAATGTGGACACTCTTATGATCTTTTCAATTATTGCTATGGACTCCTTTTCATCATTTTATAAAAGTCAAATTTTTATTACTGGTTGCATGTTTTTACCATTATGTAATAAAGTAGAAACCCGCTAAGTCAAACTCCCAATGTAGACAAAAATTGGTTTGGGTTAGCAAGGTTTCAAGTTAGCTGATAGTAAATGACTGAAAAAATAGTGTCAAGGTAAATCTAATCTTGTTTGAGTTTGAGTTGGTAGGGTTCTCCTATAATCAATTTTTCATCAAACTGTAATTTGATCTGTCTTCCATTACATGTAATTGGAAGGGGAGAAATTTCCCTACCCATCATTTAGTTTTAACAAACTTCAGACAAAAAAGTAAATCAGAGGGTCAGAGAAAATTCCAACTGGGTTTGTTGATCTATGAGAACAGGTAATTTTCATCACTTATAATATCTCTACCATTCAACAGGTGCTTTTCTTATCCCTTACGTTATCTTCATGTTGATTGAGGGATTACCACTGTTCTTCCTGGAGTTAAGTATTGGTCAGAGAATGAGAAAAAGTGCCATACGATGCTGGCAGGATGTACACCCTGCCCTTTTTGGTATTGGTGTGTCATGTCTCATGGTCTCACTGATGTTGTGCCTCTATTATGTGGTGGTCATCGCTTGGTGCTGTTATTACTTCTTCATTTCATTCACCAGTACCCTACCTTGGGAACATGACAAGCTTTGCACCAACTATAATGAATTTGCAAAAATCAAAAAGACTCTTGATAGCCTGTGCAGTGCCTCCAACAAAACTTGCAAAGCCACCCCACAGTACCAAGCAGTGAATGCAAGTTATCATAATTTCCCAGATTGTTGTGTGCGAGACCCACCACAATATTACTTCTACCACCACGCAATGCAAATTTCAAAAAACATTGAAGATGCTGGAGTTGGTATGAATGGGAAACTTGCTGGATGTCTAGTGTTTGCATGGGTTATTACATATCTCTGTGTGGTCAAAGGAATTAAATCAAGTGGAAAGGTATTCTTTCTTGGCTAATTTAAAATATTTGCATTTAGGGCAATAGATCTGCAATTTTCTGCTGTAGCAATTCTTGTTTGATTTGAGACAAGACTTTATGAGACTTCTCAATGGTCAGTGTACCAGCCTCAGATTAAGGAACCAGTTAACACCAGTTGATTCAGCCCAATCTTGCTTGCCCTGCTGGCTTTTCTTCTTTCTGTGACTCTTTTTTTTTTTTTTACTCAAAATAAGGGGGGCCCCTCCACTAGATCCACCACTGGTAGTGATGCGAAAAAGCAATTGAGCTAGTTATGGAGTTTCATGAATGAGTATCTGAATCTTCTATAACTGATAACTGATCAGTTATGTTCTCTAATTTTCCTTCTAGGTTGTGTATTTCACTGCAACATTCCCCTACGTCATTCTCATCATTTTGTTCTTCCGAGGTGTTACATTGGAGGGAGCAGGAAATGGTGTCAAGGCATTTTTCAACCCAGATGTGAGTAGACTTGCTAATAGCTGAGGTCCCTTAAACTGTAAGCCTAATGTTCTGTTTTCATTATGTTACAGTGGAGTTTGTTGAATAATGCCAATATTTGGAAAGATGCTGCCACCCAGATGTTCTTCACCCTCAGCTTAGGATTTGGTGCACTTATAGCATTTTCCAGTTATATGCCCCTTCACAACCAAGTGATGCGTGATGCCTACACAGTGGTATTCATCAACTGTGGCACATCAGTGTTTGCTGGAATTGTAGTGTTCTCTATTTTGGGATATAGGGAACATGTCACAGGCATCCCAGCTACTGAGGTAGGATATTAATTTAGATAACACTGACAGCTATAAAATAGTAACAGTTTTAAAAAAAAGGCATGATTCCTTTGTTTATAAACTATATTTTCTTTATTACAATGATCACATTTGTGACTAAGTTACCATGTGTTCAGCTACCAGGACTGCAAATATTCCAGAATTAAAATGTTATGTGCCTAAGAAAAGACTCCACAAGATTTGCCTTAATTACTACTGTTGGGATAATTCTGGTTGGATATTCAGTTTAAGCTATCTTGTTGTGTAAAAGTTCTCTGGACAAAATTCAGTCTCTTTAAAAAATGGTTGATCCCACAGATTATCTATAAATGACCAAGCCATGATCATGGAAGTCTCAATTGAGGTTTGATTGGTGTGACTGTATTTCTTTTAACAAACAGGTTGGGTCTGGTCCAGGTCTTGCCTTCATGACCTTTTCTGATGCCATTCTTTTGATGGATGTTTCACCACTCTGGGCCATCCTGTTCTTCTTCATGCTGATTCTTCTTGGTATCGACAGTGAGTTTGGCACCCTGGAAGCAGCCATTGGTCCTATCATGGAGCTGAAGATTTTCCCCAACATGAGGAAGGAACTTCTTACACTTCTAGTTGCAGTGATTTTATTCTTGTTTGGTTTGTGCATGGTTTCTGGACCTGGTTTCTACATTTTCCAAATGTTTGATGATTACTCTGTCACCATCCCATTACTTGTGATTGCTTTGTTCCAGTGCATTGGAGTGGCATGGGTTTATGGTAATGACAGGTATGGCACAACTTCCACTGGCATTTTTTAATGATAAAGTAGCCCACTGAATTAATACTACATAAAGAACACCAGTGAGCTAAGAGGTTATATCTAACCACTACCAGCGCAAATACTGCTGACTGTTGTTATTATGATCAAGTTGATATTCCTAAGAGAAACATTTGTCACAAAAGAAAAAGTTAGATATATCCTCCAAAATCAATCATGACCTGCATGAATAATCAAAGTGTTATCTTACAAATACACGTAGGCATAGCATTTTAATTTTTGTATGCATGCAAATAGGTTTGCAGATGACATTGAATTCATGACTGGTAAGCGACCATGGATTGGCTGGATGATCTGCTGGAAATACATCTCCCCACTGGCTTTGTTTGTAGTTCTTGTTGCACTAATTGCCCAACAAAGCCAAACTGCTCCAACATACTCCAAATTTGTTGGATGTACACAGGTATGGCAGCTTGCTAGAAACTATACTGTTTTTTGTTTTTCTTAATCATGATGCAAGATTTAAACAAATTTGTGCACAGTGAGCAGCCCTTATTTACCTGAAATTAAGGCATTGTGATAGTATCAGTCATTCAAACTTGACTCCTACTTGAAATGTTGAGCTATAGGCTACCAAGGGGACACAGTTACTAAGAGGTTAGGCATTGGTATAATGTGATGCCATCAGGCAGAGACTGGCATTCAGATTTCCTTGCATATTTCGTATAAAAAAGAGGAATAGCCTGACTGTTGTATTCCTTACATTTAGGACCCCTATAGTGGTGCTGGGTCAGACAAATGGACAGTAAGGGAAAAATACCCTGACTGGGCAGTGTTTGTTCTTGTGATGATTGTGCTTGTCTCTACTCTGCCAATTCTCATCTGGATGATTAAGGATTGGCCAAAGAACTGGCGTCAAGGCTTCCACAAAACATTCTGTACTGGTGTCAACAATTACCTGCCAGATCCTAAGAAGGAAGAGATTCCAGGAGATGCAAAAAGGGGTTCCAGTAACTATGGCATGGAAGGAGGCAATGTTATATAAATCAACTGTGAAATTTCAAGTAGCATTTATGTCGGTTATTATGTTACACACTGTTAAATGTGAATTAAGAGTGCAAAAAGCTGCTGATGGGGGTAGTCATAAAATCAATCACAATTTTTAGCTTATAACTGGGTAACCCTGATGTTGCTTAAATTTTTGTAAGCTTTGTAAGAAAATTGTCATTATAGATGTATGCATATTCTTTAGATGTCCTTAAACATATTAGATTGACAAAGTTTTTTCACTCAGACACAAAATTGTATTGTTGAGAGTTTAACCCAATTAATTCAATTTAACCATGCCTTGTAAGAGTTCAAGCACATCTCTCCAGTTTTCATCTTTGTACAATCACGGGGTTTGGGGAAAGTAGTGCAATTTACAAAGACTTGTCTTGTATCTGGAATGTTCAAACAATTTCTCATATATATATTTTTTAAAAATCTGGGTCAAAAGGTCCATTTAGCATTATTCTAACAAAATTTTGTAAATTGGCAATTTCTGCACATCAAGTTATTTTTTTTGGTGAAGTCACACATGTTTTAATTAAAAACTACAACTGTTCATAGTAGTTTCCTCCTTTTTCAGCCTTTTGCTCTTTTAATTGTTATCAGAGATTTTGAAGATTCAGCAATGCAGTTCGCATTCATCTACGTTTCCATTGCACCTTCAACTGACATGGTTACAACAGAAGGACTAAGACTTTTTATGTAAAGAATCAGTACAAAACTTGACCAAACAAAGGATAGACATGAGCTATCTTTTCACTTTAATGGATCCCTACAGGTGGCCTTTATGGCACAACACACGTTTTATCAAAGTCATACCTTTCATATGCGTGGGGTAGGGGGTAAAGTGCCAATCTAGTTATCTAAGGTCAAAATTTGCACACACCTTGCACAACCTTTCTCTTTCTTCCCTCTATCTCTACTTGTCGGGCTCCCGAGAAAGAATCGCTGTCGATCGATCGTCTGGTCTATAGAGCGCATGCGTAGAGTAGGGCATCTGTGCGGTCGCTCAGCGCTCTGCACTAAGCAGAGGTTGTTGTTTGAAAGGCTCATGACTTCAAGAGAGCTGAAATCACGCAGAAACGAACACGCCGCATTTTCGGAACGGGTCGGTCTCACGAGAGATCAACTTACGAGCGAACATATTTGAGTGAACCTATCGAGAATCATATTATACCAAATGAGCTATCAAATCTCAATCTTGATAAAAAGCATCTTCAGAAGCGTCATCGTATTTTTAGACGTGATCTTGAACCAAGTAGAATTCCAGTACGAACTCTACTACGTCTGAGAAACAAGAGCAGAAAGGTTAGAGAATTTTTTTTCAAATGTATTTGTTCGAGTACACACTAAGTCTTCGAAAACGTATTGTTATATTAAAAGCTTAGAAACATAATCCTAAATCCTTTGAGACAATACATAAAAGTTTTAATAAAGTTAAAATCTCGAAGTAGACGGTCTTGCTCACTATTTTCTGGTAACATGGTTGTGTGCCTTTACAAGAGTCAAACCCACGTAGCAAATTATTGTAAATTTAAGCTGAGCACAGATATCGAAAAGAACCCTGGCCTTCGCCTAGTGTATGTTGATCATATAGCCCATATAGCATGTTGATCATGTTGATGTTTGTATGTATGTATGATGTATGTTGATCATTTAGCACCATATAGCCGAAGTCATGAGTTGATATACGGACAAAATGCTGAACAACAATGTTTTGCAATGAGTTTGTGCTGCTTGATTTAAAACAACAAACAATTCTGCAAATGCTCATTCAAATAATGAATATTGGAAATCAGTTGTATTCAAGGTTGTCTCAATTAGCCAGACAGTCCTAGTTAATGCAGAAACAATTACCTCGCAATATTAAATGTTGTTGATGCTGACTATGAACTAGAATACAGTGAAAGTTACACTGGTACTATAAATTAGGAGACTGAAATAGAAGGATATCAGTACTTTACTTCTTTACAAAGAGCCTTTGAATCACTATTATCTCAAAACTACATCAATTTTATAACTGTGGGAATTAAAAGTGTTTCTATTTACTGTAATGTTGATATGGGGTTCAAAGTATGATTCTCATGCAAGGGATGTACATGGTAGAGGCCATCCCCAAGGTACTTGTGCTTCTTGAAGCATTATCACTTGATAGATTAGTATGTTATTTTCAGAGTATACATAACAATGATATATTTGAGGCGAAGGGGGTACACATTAATTAATGAAGTTCAAAATGGTACAGTACTTCCTCTGAACAATGCACAAGAGAGCATAAATTTCAATCTAAGTTGTGTTGTGACCATCTACTATCTCTGCTACTCTCTAATTAAATCATTTAGTAATTGGAATTCAAACACTTTGGCTACTATTGTAGAAAACAATAGAACCATCAAAGAAGAAGGAAAACAAGGGATATGACAAATAAACATGAGCTGAAGATGAAACAATTACAAAAGTACAAAATAATGGACACTGCTACAAAACAAAATCTGCAAGACAAAAAAGCAGACCAACACAAAACAATGGATACTGCGAAGAAGTAGAAACTTCTTGAGAAATGCAGAGAGGAACACAGTTACTGTTGTAGTAAGAAGACACTGGATTCATGTGTGGAACAGTATAAAAAGAAAATAAGGGAAAGTCCTTGTTATATATGTTTTGTATGTAACACATCACTTTATAAAACATAGGCATGTGTAGCATGCAAGAGTTATTTTTTTGGTTGGGTGGGTTGAGATTGGACAGTTTGTGTACTTGATGTTTTTATTTTTGTAACCGAAAATGGCACAACTTTCAAAAGAACCAAAATATAGCAGAAAGACAGAGAAAAAAACCTAATTTATCTGAACTCACATGGATATTATGTTTATTATTGTCTAAATACCATACTTCTAAGTAAAAATGAAATGCTTTGGTGCCATGCTTACTGTTGTCTCCTTTGCAGCTGTTGTTTGGTCTCATCGCACAATGCCCTCTATTTCCCATTTAAGAGAGAGCATGACTGGCTGTTGCCTCTCTGGACTTTGCCCTCTGTGTATGGAATACGTGATAAAATGCAGGTTGTTTTACAAGGAATTAACATGCAATTGAGTTAAGTCCAAGGTAGCTAAACGCAAATTTTATTTGAACAAAAAGTCAAAATGAGGGAGAATTGCATAGAAAGTTCACTATCAATAGCATTTAGTTCCATGTCAATTTTTTTTCCAGTGGGCTTGGACAATGCAGTCAGAATACATGATAAAATGCAGGTTGTTCACAAGGAAATGACATGTGATCAAACAAAGTCTAATGTGGCAATGTGGAATTTGATTGGTCGAATACAATTCAAGCACATGAAAAATTTCCCAATGTTCATGTGGTGCAATGATTGGGTAAGTTCTAATTGGACTTTGGACATTCTTTTCATGGTATGTGGTGGAATGTGAGCTGTTTGGCATGTGCATTGGGAGTAAAAAAGTGGAAAAACACATTTATCTTAAAAATTTAGATGTGAACTTTTCTTATCCTGATAAATCTTGACCTTAATTAATGAGGCTCTCAAAAAGGCCACAAACCATCACACTTAACAAATGAGCCCAAATTTTCTGGTTTATGTCATTCTTTGTGCACAGACTCCTGATCCATGACATAATTTACAAGAAAACAATACCCAAAGGCTGTGATTGGTGCAAGATATCTAAATGCTATGATATAATTGGTGTGAGATACATTCACAGATGTGGCAATCTGATTGGTGCGAGATACATACCCTAATTGAGCAGTCTGATTGGTGCAAGATAAACACTCTAAAGAAGCAATCTGATTTGTGCAAACAACACATCACTCTATACACTAATATAGAGTTTTTTAATTTTATTTTTTAAAATAATAGTTCAAAAATATGTCTTAAAATTGAACCCAAGTAGCTACCCTTATGAAGATGTTTTAAAATACAATCATCATATCATGGAAAATAATATGTCTGCAAGACCTGTCACTCAAAAACCTTACAAGGAACAATTCCATGTCAGGCAATCGTGAACAATTTAAATGTTGGCGATGTTTACTGAGTTTGGAAATCTTTAAAAACTGGAACAAACAATAATTGCACAGCGCAACGTATTTAGTCCAGTCGCAAATGTACATAATTTAAGTCCTGAGGGAATTTCGCGCAGAAAGCAAGCCACTGCACTAGATATGTTAATGGGACCCTAAATAACGGGAAAAATCTTGTTGCCACTTTTGCAACCTGCTCCAACGCTTTTTAGAGGATGTCTTATAAATGCCCCTACAGACCCTGCATGAAAATGAGGCTACTTCATAAAACAACTTATAACTTCGTTTATTATGGGCCATAAAGCACCAAGTAGCACCAAAGATATAAATCTACGTTGTCGTTATCATAACTGCATGTTTAGTGACTGAGTCACAAGATTAGTCACGTGACTAAGAGTATGGAAGTGAGGTTGGTCTTCTAAAATTTCCCTCGACATTCCTACAACGTCTAATTAACAAATAGAGAAGCCTTGACTGTGCTCCATTCTGTTAAAAAGCACGCAGGAAGCGGTCAGAGCACAAAAGAAGTGTAGGGAGAAACACACGTAGTCTCCCCACTTCTTGAACACTGAATTTTTTATACTATACAAGTGTTAGATGTGTTTGATTTTTATTACCGTACGCAAGCTTGCAATCTAACCGAGTGTGAAAATCTTTAAAACTCGGAATGTCTATTTTGTTTTCCTTTGAGGACTTATGTATCTGCTCACGTTTAAATAACGTAAATTACGGCGCCTGGTATGTTTACAAACCTGTATTGGTTCTTCTGTTGCTACTTGCCGGCTCGCTCGTTCCGAAATTTCACTTTCAATCATCGGAAAAAAGCTAAAAAGAAGTCTCGGAAAAGGTCGAACATAGGACAATTTGGCAGATGACGTGACAGCTTTAGCTCAGCTCTATACTCTATTTAACAAATAGATTCCAAGTTGCCGTGCGTCTGTTCAGTAATAGATCACAGATGACGTCAAAATGTGGTAAGAGCAAAAAGCAGCACACGAGGCGCAGCCGAGTGTGTCACTGATGTTCTTACCACATTTTGACGTCCTCTGTAATCTATTACTGAACAGACGCACGGCAACTTGGAATCTATTTGTTTTATACAATAAAGAATTCAAATATACGGAAAAAAGTTTTAATGATGACGTCATCTATTTCGTCCTTCAATAGATCATAAGTGAGAACCAATCAGAATGCGTGCATAACTGAGCTTATTATATAAACTCCCATAGAGCACGCTCTTTCAATGAATGACAGCGCGCGTTATATCCGAACTTTATTATAAAATGTTTTGTTATACTTCATAAACAGCGTATCTCTTTGAGTTCAAACTGTCCCTTTTCGACAAGATGCGTTAGTCACGTTTATTTCAAAAACACGAGAACGAGGCCAGATAGAAAGTTTTTATATCTGAGGTACCAGTCATCACCTATCGCCTGTGTGGAGAGCTATTTCTGAAATTACAAGAAAACTAACGATAAAAAAATATTCTTACCGAAATTTACAGAATTAAATTAATTAGAGAATCTAGGAATTGGTGGTAAAGACTGTGCATTGGGAAAACACTCAAAATTGCACAACAATACGAACTTTCTGTGGTGCCAAGATCGATGTTTGCAGCTGAGGGAACATTGCTTTGTTGCTCATGTAAGAGTGTCCTTATCGGTATTTTAGGGAAACTGCCCTTGGATCCAAATGAAGATGACAACAACGCTGGTGACCACAGTACAGAAGTCCAAATGAGAGTCGCTGCGGTTGATGCAATCGCTGAGGTTAAGTGCCCAGAGACAAACCTGAATGGATCAAAAACCGTTCGCATTTTTGAAAAGTTCAGCGAAAATGGAGAAATCCCGTTGGTTTCTGACAGATACGATCTGCCATCTTCCCCAAAAGAAACTACTCGTACGAAGAAGCAAAAAAGCCAGAATCCGGTGTATTATCGTATCACATGGCCGGCGAAATGGAAGACGAGTAGTTGTAGCATGGAACTCAGAATGCATTGGAATAATTGAAGATTGTTCTTTTATCCTAAGCAGTCAAGAGGAGGCAGACAAATTATTTTACATGCCGTAGATGCTACAGCCAGAGGTACCACTGGAGAACACTCTTCTTGTCACTGGTACAGGCAGGAACCATCGAAAAATTATTCTTTGACCAATTTTTCGCACCTCAGGCCCCGAAATAGCAGCCGCTCTCCCGGCGTTTCATGCTCAAAGTGGAGCAGACAATACTGGCTGTTTTTCGGGGAAGAGAAAGCTGCATGCTGGGAAGCTTTCAGCTTTTGAAGGTTCAGATTTGACTCCTAGAGTTGCGATTATGGCTTCAATCGAGAAGTTTGTGTGTCAGCCCTGTCTCCCCGAGACGGATATGTGATCTGTGGCAAAACTAAGATGGTGGTTTTTTAGAAAGAAACAAGCCTAGTGGGAGAGGCTACCTCCAACCCAGGCTACTCTTCAACAAGCAATTTTAGGAGCCCATTATTAACTCATAATATGGAATAACGATGTAGTAGCAAATCCCACCCTGCCATCACCAGAACATTTTGGTCGGACGCTGGATGGAGACCAGTGGGTTCCAGTTATGACTATCTCCCTCCAGCACCTCAAGCTATTATTCATCATGTGAAGTGCAAGTGCGCTAAGGAGAGATGTTTCACAAACCGCTGCTAGTGTAGAAAGAATGGGCTGAACTGCACGGATCTTTGAAGATAGTGGAGAGCCATGTGAAAATGTGCGAAGTGATGAAGATGACGATTCTGGCGATAGTAACGAGTGATAAGGAAGAAAATGGTTATTGAATATGATTCTGACGTTTTGAGCGATTAGGTTTCGCAAAAGGACGCTGCCAGTCCCAAATCGCAAATCCAAACATCACAGCCGCGCTCTGGTGTTCTTGAAATTCTCGAAAAGGAACAGTTTGAGCTCAAAGAAATATTTACGCCGCTTATGAAGTACAATTAAGCATTTTAGACACTGAAGGAGAGTCAAAAGAAATTTTAGAAGACCAGCCTCACCTTCATGCTCTCTTAGTCACCTGACTAATCTTGTTACTCACAGTTACTAAACATGCATTCATGATGACGACAACGTAGATTTATAACTTTGGTACCATTTTGGTGCAATATGGCCCATAACAAAAGAAGTTATCAGTTGTTTTATGAAGTAGCCTCGTTTTCATGCAGGGTCTGTGGGCACATCTATGAAACATCCTCTAAAAGGCATTGGAGCAGGTCAGTGGACTTGTTTATTCTCAACTTGTTAGACCTGAGTCCATAGTAACAGTGTTTAATTGGTGAAAAGCTAATAACCCCTTATAAAAAGATATAAAAAATGGTTGCAGAAATATTGATGTACAGCTTTGAAACAAACTCTCTAAGTGCAAACCATTCAAGCAGTACAGTATAAACTATTTACATATTACTTTGACACTAAATTTGTTTCAAATGCATTACTGCTTTACACCCTCAAATCCATATGCATATTCTCCATACTGCTCTTTAAACATTTCCTAAGGTGCTGACAAGGAGAATTTGTTTACCAATCAAAAGCTTTATTTGTTGATGATCATTTCCTATATTCTCATGACTTTAATGTGATTCAGGTGTAATATTGTAGAGAGATTTAAAGGGTCAGGATACAGGATTTTGATAAGTTGTGTTTAGGAATTTCACATGTGTACAGATTTAATATCTACAGTGGCTGGTAAGAACAAAACAGAGTCACAAAACCTACAACACAAACACAAACTTAAAACAGAATCACAAAATCTGCAGCACTACCACAAAACTCTACAACACAAACACAAACACAAACTTAAACAAACTCCACAACACTAACACTAAACTCTACAACATAAACACAAACTTAAGTTTCCTGGATGTAAAT